TGGGGCGGACGCCCTGCGCCGTGGGCTGGGAGATGGGGCCGGGTGCAGCCGCGCTGCCCGAGGACATCATCTGTAAGGTGCACTTGAAGAGCTTCGTGGAGCAGCAGGGCTTGGTGGGCTACGACCCCAACCTGGACGTCCTGCTTGGTGAGCCTCGCGTGTACGGCAGCTCCAGCGTGACAGCGGAGGGGTGAACGGCCACAAACACGCCGGGTTCTGTTTTTTCCAATTGCTTTTACAGAGAATAAGGGGTTTTTACACCCAAACTGCCTTCTCCTCTTAATCCCTTCAGTCTGGGTTGAGCCAGAACGGCAGACAGCCTGGGGCAGACCCGATGGCCCAGGATGGCGGGCGGTTGGCGAGCCCTCGTGTCCCGCACTGAGTGTCCTTCCTTCTTTCAGTGACGGAGGGGAAGCTGCGGTCCCTGGCTGAGCTGCAGCAAGCCGTTCTGCAGTGCATGGTGAGCAGCCCTGCAGCGCTGCCTGCCTCGGGCTTTCCAGCCGTCCTTCCCTCCCGTCACGTGATGGCGTTTGAGCTTCCTGCTGTGCTCCGCTGCAGGCTGGAGGCCAGGGAAGCTGCTGCAGCATCGTGCACGTGGTGAGCTGCGAGGAGGAATTCCAGCAGCAGCAGCTGGATCTGCTCTGGAGGATTTTGGATCCAGGAGCCCACACAGCTTCGCAGGTGAGGAACCTCCCACCCTCCTCGCTGTGGCCCCCGGCACCTCTGTGCTCAGCCAGCCTCCTTCAGTCCCCGCAGCGAAGCCTGAGGCCCAGCCTCGCCCCCCTGGGAGGCTTCCCTTTCCCTTGGCAGCCCCCCCACGCACTTGCCCAGGCGGTGGAGCAGCCCCTCTGCCCTTGGGATGTCAGCGCTGAAGAAGGAGGGGGGGAAGACAACTGCAGGGACACAGCTAGGACAGGGCTGGTTTCAGCCTGGTCCTGCACTGCGTTTCAATGGAGCTTCTCCAGTCTTTGACCCCAGCCCCGGCCTCTCTCCTCTTTCAGAAACACCTTGTCTGTGGGCCAGTGAAGGTGACAAACCCCTCGTCGCCCATTGGGGCAGACCAGTACTTCCAGTAAGTCTGTGTGTAGCCCAGCGCAGACTGCGCTGCTCGCCTGCCTGGCCCCGTGGGCACCCAGGCAGCCACGCTGCAGCGCTTGGCGAGCTGGTGGTGCACAGAGAGTTCTGTGCGCTCCCTCCATTCTGCTTTTCTGTGGCCTCAGGGCTGTTTCGAGAGGACTGGAGGTGCGGAACGGAGCCCACAGGGCCCTCCCCAGTCCCTCCTCCAGCCGTGTTGCTTCTGGCCCTCTCTGTGCTGCTGGGGGGCTGCGGGGAGGAAAGGCAGCAGCAGGAGCTGGGCACTATGGTGGTGCAGGGTGGTGTCTCCCTGCTGTCACACGGCCCTGGGGCGGGGGTGGCCTTTTCTTAGCCAAAAGGCAGAGCTTGTGCCTGGCGCAGCAGCTTCCTTGCACCCCTCTCCG